TGATATTTGGAATCAGCTCGTCGAGCTGCATCAGACCATATATAAAAAGAGCCATTTTTGTCGAAGTCATTTTTGGCAAAACTTTGGCCGAAACTAGCTGGTATGACCGGAAATTCAGTTTTAGGCATTCATATTACATTTTGAAGAAAAGCTAAGGTGATATTCGGAATCAGCGCATCAAACTACATCGAATGATATGTAGCTTAACATATTTTTCAAAAAAAAAGATTTTTCGAAAAAAAAGGCTGAGGTCCCCCCGAGCCATATTTTTCGAAAAATTTTTTTTCTTAAAAAACCTATTATTTTCTTAAAAACGATTTTCGGAGCGATATACTGTCATTTATAGTGAAATGAAAGCCATTCCTAAGCAAAAAAACCGCATGTCCGCCTGCTTATGCGAAAGCTCCCCACTGTGAGACGCCAACTAATTTGACAACGAAGAACAACGTACTAACTCAAATTCGCATTCCTGAATTTAATGCGGAGAATGAAAAAATTCAACAATTTCAAACATCATCGACTTATTCCACGGTAAGTCAGGAGATTGCAACAACTTCTCGAACTAAACGAAGACTACAAGCAAGTGAGACTCACACGAGCGCGAAGAACACGAATATTGACAAGAGACGATTCCAACCTTGTCAAACGATGGCTGTTAGACGAGCTCAAGCTACATTGGAGGAAGCTGAAAGACAGCGGATGCTTGCAAGGGAAAGAAGCGCTACCAGAAGAGCTGTCTTTACACCCGAACAACCTGAACGAGAGCGTAAACTTGCACGAGAAAGAAGTGCAACTAGAAGAGCTGCTTTAACATCAGAACAGGTTGAACATGAACGTACCATGGCTTGAGACAGAAGTGCAGCTAGAAGAGCTGCTTTAACAGTGCAAGAAATCGAAGAACAGCAAGAGCTAACTCGTGAAAAATTTGCAGCATGGAGAGCTACTTTTACATCGAAAGAAATCCAGCTACAACGAACACTTGCTGTCGAACGAAGTATGAATAAGCGAGCTACTGCATCATCAAAAGAAGCTGAATAACAGTGTATGGTAGCTTGCAAACGAAGTACCGCAAGACAAGCTGCTTACACATCTCATGAACTCGAAGGGCAGCGTGCATCTGCTCGTCAAAGAAAGTGGCTTCGATAAAGTAACAAGCACCAACATGAAAGTAACGACTTTGAATGGCCAAAACCTATTGATATTGAACGTAAGAAAAACTGTTTAAAGCACTTTATTCAACATATGTCGATGAGTTCTCTGCAAGTAGGTGTTTGCGATATTTGTAATGTTCGTTGCTACAAACGTGATTTCTACCATATACCGTTCAGTAAAATACCGTCTATTGAATTACTGAAAGTACCCGACGATTTTTATGAGATAATTTCGGGAATGCAGGAAACGTACCAATTCCAGTCACATGATAAGCTTAACATGAGTGGTGATCTTGCCAAGGCGTTGATTCAGAAAGAAAGAGCAGCAGGTTAGTCTCGCTAATACGTAAACTAATACAGTAAATAATTTTTTTAATTATAGATACGCATGCTCAATCAACAATGAATAAACAGGCGTTTACTTATGTAAACGGTATCGTTTTTTATGAAGCAGGATTGCATAAAACTGTTGAGAGAAAAAAACGATATTCGATACACTGCGATATTTGTTCGGAGTGTTGGTCGTCTCTAATAAAAGGGAAAGTACCGAAATTTTCGCCTGCCAACAAAATATGGGCTGGAGGTGTCCCAGAAGAACTACAAGGACTAACAATTCATGAGGAAAAACTGATCTCTCTTTATCGGCACAATGGCTGCATAGTCAAGTTACATTCGTCTTTTCATTCGACAAGTACAGTTCAGTAAGCTTTAAGGAGGAATTGCATAAGTTTTCCCCAAGAAGTTATTAACGTAGCTACTATCTTACCACTAGATTTAGATGATCTATGTGATTCTCTAAAGATAATCTTTGTTGGGTGTCATCCTCCACAACGGAACCAATTAAAAAATGTTTTGACCGTTCGAAAAAAGAAAGTTTTCGAAGCACTTCAATGGCTTAGACAGAATAATCCTCTATATCGTAATGTTACAATTAATCAACTAAAAATCAACAAATTACCTGACGATGATGTACCGGAGTGTTTGTGGGCAACTATGGAAATTTCTACTAATGTAGAAGCAGCTGAAAATGAAAGAGCAAGTTACATTCCTGATCCGTTGACCAATGCATCTGAATTTAACAATAGAACAGCTATGCCTATAATCTCAAGGTAAGACAAAGAGACATGTAGATATGCTTGCACTAATATTGTTTATGTTATAGTGCTGTGTTAGATGTCAATGGTACCAAAGTGTCGTCTGATGAAGTTGCTAAACATCTTTTAGAACGAATCAAAGCACAAGTGCCAGAAAAAACACACGGAAAAGACACCGAGCAAAACTCTAAACAAGACACTGTATACATAATTCCTCGTGGCAACAAACCGGCCAATGAATATTCTAATCCAAATCTTTTATTAGAAATCTTTCCTACCCTATTCCCATATGAATGTGGTGGGCTTGAGGATGGTTCTCGACCAATTCAAATCAATTTTCGTGAGCATCTCAGATATCTTCTTTCGTACGCAGATCGCCGCTTTGAAGAACACTACTCATTTATATTCCTTGTCTTCAATATTTTACAACGCCGAACAGCATGTTTCCACGCCCAATTAATGACAACAAGATCATGGTTTCAACAATCTGCACAAGTTCGTAACTCATTGAGTTCTGAAGATGCAGCAACAGCCCTTATTAATATCTCAAAAGCGCCTTATTCAAAAGTTACTGACGAGAGAATAAATACGTTGATGAAGCACATCAAAATTATTGGTGGTCACGTCATGGGTTCAGCTCATTCCCGATCAGCTCTTCGTACGAAAATTCATTCTTTATGTTTTTATCTTGGTCTTCCTAGCCTTTTCCTCATAATCAATCCGGCCGACATCAATAGTCCAGTGGCACTTTACTTTGGAGGTGTCGATCTCGATCTTGATAACGTTCTGCCAGAAGTCCTGCGTACAAGTTATGAGCGTGCTCAAATTGTCGCGACACACCCTGTTGCAACTGCAAAGTTCTTCAACTGTTTAATAAAAAGCATTTTGAAAAGCCTAGTGTTGGGCGGTGTACTTGGTCCTGCAAAAGCGTATTTCGGCACTGTAGAGAGTCAAGGAAGAGGATCGCTCCATTTACATCTCTTGATTTGGCTCAATCATGAATATACTCCAGCACAATTGAAAGAAAATATTCAAAATCAAGATTTTCGTGAAAATTTACTAAAATATTTAGAAGATATTATAAAAGAAGATTTAGATTCGTTTCGAGGTAAAATATTTAACATTGTTCGAATCTGTCATTTGAAGTTGTTACATTTGCCTACTTGATCCTGTTTTACACCCTATTAGTGCATCACTCCCTTATCTTGAACTTGAGCTTTCAGAACATTTTAAAAACTTTCATTAATCCAAAGCATACTCCATTCCGATTACCTATTCTTACTATATATTTATGAGATTTATATTTTTTGTACTTTTGAATATCAATATTCTTTTTTAAGATGAAACCAACGACGGAGCAAGTACGACAAGCGATGATAGAACATTAATTGGTGACCTTTGACGCTTTTAGTAGATCTTTAATTATAATTCTCACTTCATCTTAGGACAAATTGAATCGACAGCAAGTGAAGTTATACCACCATGTCTCCCGACACCAAATCCTGCATTGGAAGGCTTCGATCAAACGTTTCGCAAAGATGCAGTTCAATTGGTCGAAACCTGCAATATTCACAAGCATTTTGCAGCTTGCTATAAATATTCTAAAGGCAAAAATGAGAGTTCAAAAATTTGTCGAAGGCGCATGCCACGTGCACTAGTGAAGGTTTCTAATATTGATCCTACGGCGGGACAAATAACTATGCGTCGATCGCACCCGTGGATCAATAACTTCAACGAATGGCTCTTAACTGCATGTCGATCAAACATGGACATTAAGTTCATCTGGAGTGGAAATGACGCTAAAGCATTAGTTTACTATATAACTGATTATGTAACAAAATCTACTCTGGCCTTCTATCATATGTTTGCGCTGGCACAACAAGGCATCAAATCTATCGAGCATGAACGAATTTCTAATAGCACAGATAATATTGTTGGCAAACCGCGCAAACTAGTGTTACGCTGCTTTAATATGATTGCTTCACAACAAGAAGTTTCAGGTGTTCAAGTTGCGTCATATCTAATGAACTATGGTGACCACTACACTACACATACGTTCAAAAATCTTTTTCTCATTTCAATCGAAAACTATCTACAAACAGAACTAAATAAAGCATGAATTAACGAAAAAGAAATTGTTGAAGAGAGAATAGATGGTAGAACTTTTTAAAATAATTTTATAGATTTTTAATATGTAGTTTTCTAGAGACTTCAACGTCTTTCTACGATGAACAAGGAGAAGATAAAAGCGAAATCGAAGAACAATTTTCATTAGAACCCACAAAAACCAACAACGGCGATCAGTATGTCTTGGTCAATACTCGTCTTGACTATCAGCATCGATCAAAGGATCTAAGTGCATTGTGTTTATATGACTTTGTGAGCCATTTTCACAAGAAGGCTATCGATAAATCGGATCGTCATTTACTAAAAAATGTAACCGATCCTCAGGGCCAACAATTACCTACAGAAGGAACGAAAATGAATGAACGTCATACATTTGACAGCGTACATCCACAATCAACATCTCATCTCATAATTAAACGTTCCATTCCAGTAGTACCAGTTCTGACAGGTCCTCAAATACCTCGCCGCGAACGAGAAGAAACACATGAACGTTATTGTCGCGCGTTGTTAACATTATTCGTGCCATGGCGATCAGTCGAGAACCTTTGTGCAACGAATGAGACATGGTCTGAAGCATTGGAAGCTCGAAGGCTGTTGATCTCTCCCAACTCGCTTAAGATTATAGAAAATATAGAACTTTTGCACGAATGCAAACACGATCGGGATGAACATCTTCATCAAGTTCTTTTAGAAGCCCAAAACGACAACAGCATTGACCCTATTTTGATGCCTAATTACTATGAAGGCGACGAAAATGCAGAAGAAGACGATCCTGAACAACTTTTGCAAATGCTCTCCATCGTAAATGAGATCTCGACAAACACTTACTCTGCATTGGCAGCTACTCAAGAACAACGCTATGTTCATGATGCATTACAAGCAATTGATAATACAGATAGATTTGCATTACTAAATGGTGAGTTAATTACTATTATATTTCGAAAATATTTTGTTTTGATTTAGACAGCAGACACATTTGGCACCAAAATAATTATGGCACCATACACGACATCAACACATTTGTGGTAGCTCACGCACATCACAGCGTCATGATTAAAGGATGGAAACGTGACATTGAAGGTCGACGAGATGAAGCAAGAAACTATTTAATTTCAGGTGAAAATACTCTGGAAGTACGAGATGATGAAACACAGATTGAAGTCGTAGCAACTGAAATTCCAACAAGTCCCATTAAAACGAGAGCTACAAGAGTTCCACCTGTGACTACAACCAATGCAATATTATTTCCAATAAAACAAGATATTATCAGACAATTTACACTAAGCACTCAGCAAAAATATGCTTTTATGATTATAACTAGTCACTTAGATGGCGAAAATCATGCTTATACCGGTATATAATATTTTATTGATTTTGTTATTGAAAATTTTGAATAGTCTTGATATTTAGATACTGTCGATAATCAGTTATTAATGTGCATACCTGGTTGCGGTGGCACTGGAAAATCTCAGTTGATTCGTTCAATTACCAAATATTTCCAAGTAACCAAGAGGGACAAGATGTTGCGTAAACTGGCACCAACGTCTATAGCAGCAGCTGAAATTGACGGATTAACTATCCATTCATTTTTAGGTGAAAGTCGCAAAAACAGTAAAAAGAAACAAACCCGTACATTTAGACCTGGCGATACGAAATTGGAAAATGAATGGCGTCATGTGAAGTACTTGATAATCGATGAGATGAGGATGGTAGGACTTAGTCTCTTAGCTCGTCTGAATCGAATAGTGAAAACAGCCAAGCACGTAAATTCCGAGATACCTTTTGGTGGTGTCAATGTCATTTTCTTCGGCGACTACCTTCAATATTCTCCTGTTTTGGACAAGCCTCTCTACTATAGATGCTCATCGACACAGCAAATTACAGAATGTCAGATAGATATAATGTGTGCACAGAAGGTCATGTCTGAAGTAAACTGCGTTGTTGAATTAACTCAGCAAATGCGGACTGAAGACGTAAGATATTTGGAACTTTTAAATAGATTAAGAAATGGATACTCGACAATAGAAGATTACCAACTTTTCTGTACGAGAGTCATAGGAAATCCAACACTTCAAGTATCTCTACAACAAAAGCCATGCAACGAAGTATGCATACTCATTTTCTCTGTGTATCACATTACTTTTCTTTCAATAGGCTCCAATACTGGTTTTTCGGAATACGCTACGGACTCAAATTAATAATAGAGCTGTCTTAAACAAAACAATGGAAATGGGACTTACCCCAATTGTATGCATTGCTCAAGATTATATTCAAGGAAAACCAGTGGATGATCTACGATTATGTAAAGTCATACTTGAACTAACTGACAATAAAACCGAACATCTTCCAGGGTATCTGCCTCTCGTACCAGGAATGCCAGTTTTACTCACAGAAAACATCGCTACCGAACTGGGACTCTCCAACGGTACACGTGGAATCTTTCGTCAACTTGTATACGATGAATCACCAGAAGATGTTCGATACCAGGATAAGAATTTTCCACCAAATACCAAGTTTATAACTCAACCAAAGTACGCTTTAGTAGAATTTCCTGGTTGAAAACTTAATACCAAACTTGCTGGACTGCAGTCCAAAATAGTTCCTATAGCTATTAGTGAAAAAACATTCTTGTTCGACGCCAAAGAACTTCTTCCAGAAAATGTAGCAAAAGCAGCCAAAATAAATAAGAAAACAACAAAACTCACCGTCAAACGTAAAGCACTTCCGCTTATACCCGCATACAGCATGACAACACATAAAAGCCAAGGCCAAACACTCGGTAAAATTATCGTCGATCTGGTGATGCCGCCTGGTCCAATTGAACTCGCATCGGTTTATGTTCCATTATCTCGTGTAAAGAGACTTGACGATTTACTAATCATACGTCCATTCGAATTTGGAACACTTCAAGTTAAACCATCAACGGCCCAAATAGAAGAATTTAAAAGATTAGATAAAATAGCACAAAGTACTCGGAAACGTTTTCAATTCATTGTTTAAAACAACAACATCCCAAGAGTGCCGTGATCTTCAGGCAAACCATCTAACTGATAAAAAAAAACTCTATATTGCATGCTCGAAATCTGTCCGTTATACAATTATAGCCATTAGATCATTTGTAAAACCTCTATGAAACTCTATTTGAAATAAAAGCCATCAAGATAAAAGAGAATGAAAAGAATTTGAACAGTGTAAACCCGCTGTATCCGTAGGAAGTCACTATTGCTTGCGCATTCAATCCGAATCCCAAGCAGCATTTGACAGCTATACACTACAACAAAAGCTACATTTCACACGCGCCATATCAGAAAACTTTCTTAAGTACGGATTTCAGAAAGGACCAGTAATGACAACATAGTTTTCTTACCAACATCGCCGCTAATACTCGCAGTGCACTTTCATGGGACCTCGTCGTAATAAACCGACAAACTATATCGAGAACTAAAGGTAATCGAACGACCCTCATTTCATTAAATAAACTTCCATAAACAACAAGCATAGTAGCATTAGCTACCACACCCCACTAAAAATTCCAGAAAATATCGAAGAATACTGCCTCAATAGGTTTTCCAACCATCCTCAAATCTAAACTTTCAGTTGCAAAATATATAAGGAGCATATAGGTGCAGGATCAGTGTGGGCCTCGCTGTGGGATGCATAAGAACACGTTTCATTTAATCCGAAGTCCAAACACACACCAACACCCCAACCCATCCAAACGTACCCAACATCTACACCCACACTCACGCACACCCAGACCCGCACACTCACATCCACAGCCACCCACACCAATATATACACCCACACTCACCACAACCACACTCCATCAAAACCACACCCCATCAAAACCACACCCCATCAAAACCACACCCTACATCATACCCCACTGACACCTACACCCACACTCACACCCTCACCCACACCCACACCCATTCACCCTCAAACTCACTCGCATCCACTCACACCCTCACATCCACACCGAAATGGAAACCTTAAATTGGTGCAACTCCGAACTCACAAAATCTCATTGGTATAAAAGTAACGCTCGTCCGGGGACTCGCTCAGCTCTTTCTCCTAGAAATGGTGTTTCTGAACTATCAACAAACCATCTACTTGTACAATTTCAAAAACTGCGAACATACAAGCAATCAAACAATTTATTTTTGCTAGACTCTTCTCTACGAGAAAGGGAATAAAAATTCTTTTTTGTAAAAAAAGTGGCCCTTTGTTTAAAAGAATGATCCACAAAATAATTTCAAAAAACTGACCTCAGATTCGAGTTTCTCGACCTCGAATACCTTTGACCAAGCTTTATAAAAAAAATTATTTTTAGCAAAAAAAGTGATTCTTTGTGTAGAAACATCGATCCAAAAAAAAATTTCAAAAAATTAACATCAGATTCGAGTTCTTCGACCTTGATTACCCTTCGGCGAACCTTTATAAAAAAAAATTTTTTGTAAAAAAAGTGATTCTTTGTGTAAAAAAAAATCGATCCGAAAAAAATTTCAAAAAATTAACATCAGATTCGAGTTCCTCGACCCTGATTACCCTTCGGTCAACCCTTATAAAAAAATTTTTTTTTGTAAAAAAAGTGATCTTTTGTGTAAAAAAAATCGATCCGAAAAAAATTTCAAAAAACTAACATCAGATTCGAGTTCCTCGACCCTGATTACCCTTCGGTCAACCCTTATAAAAAAATTTTTTTCGTAAAAAAAGTGATTCTTTGTGTAAAAAAAAATCGATCCGACAAAAATTTCAAAAAATTAACATCAGATTCGAGTTCCTCGACCCTGATTACCCTTCGGTCAACCCTTATAAAAAACAATTTTTTGTAAAAAAAGTGATTCTTTGTGTAAAAAAAATTGACCCGAAAAAAATTTCAAAAAACTAACATCAGATTCGAGTTCCTCGACCCCGATTACCCTTCGGTCAACCCTTATAAAAAAATTTTTTTTGGTAAAAAAGTGATCCTTTCTGTAAAAAAAATCGATCCGAAAAAAATTTTAAAAAATTAACATCAGATTCGACTTCCTCGACCCAGATTACCCTTCGGTCAACCCTTATAAAAAAATTTTTTTCGTAAAAAAAGTGATCCTTTCTGTAAAAAAAATCGATCCGAAAAAAATTTCAAAAAATTAACATCAGATTCGAGTTCCTCGACCCTGATTACCCTTCGGTCAACCCTTATAAAAAAATTTTTTTTTGTAAAAAAAGTGATCTTTTGTGTAAAAAAAATCGATCCGAAAAAAATTTCAAAAAACTAACATCAGATTCGAGTTCCTCGACCCCGATTACCCTCCGGTCAACCCTTATAAAAACGATGATGTGAGAGGTCAAAAAAACATTTTTTCGTTCTGTGCGAACGAACGAACGAACGAACGGACGGACGGAGTCACGAACATACGAACCTTGCTCGGTGTATGACCCTCCTTTCAGTAGAGGGAATAAAATGGTAAATATTGATGCAAAACCGTTTGCTTACTTACTTTTCAGATAATCAGAGTAAAGAAATCCAATATTACTTATTTATTAACAAATCAGTATACGAAGTTATTCCTAGTTACGAAAACAATGACTTAATATTTTTTGTGCGCCTTCTCTACACTGACTTCTACAGTTCTATTGAAATGCATTTTCCAACTCATCCGAATTGATGTTGCCACATCTTTAAAAAGAAAAGAAATTACCTATGACATTGTTTCTCTATTGTTCCATTTGTATAATTTATAACGCAGAGTAAAATGAGGTAACGCAAAAAAGAAATATGAGTATGATCAGCATAAAACCTATATGAAGCCCATTATACCAATGCATACAGTGGTATGTGATTTGAACCAGAGATGGACGAGTCAGCAAAAAAGTCGCACCGTCACCGCCCCGTCCCGCACCGCTGATAAAGTTCCGCACCACCCACCGCCCCGCCTGTTTAGCATTGAAACCGCCACCGCCCCGTCCCGCCCCGTCAAAAATATGTTTTCAAAAACTATTTATTGGCAAATTTTTCATTAAATTTTCATAATGGCTATTTCATTTCATGAGATGAAGAGGCATATTTTAAATGCATAAACATCGTTCCGAAATAGAAAAAAATAAATATATGAAAATGAAAGGCAATTATAATACAGTCACTCATTTTGTGGAACTCACGTATATTTTCGAATAAAATAATGATTGTAAGTTTTAAGTTCGAGGTTTGGCGGCTCTCTCCCTTCCCCCACTCCATTACAGACACTCCACTCAGGGTTGCCAGATCTTTCGATACGGCAGGAAAAATTGCGATTTTTTGAAAGTTTCTCCAACGACTTTCTGACGTTCCGATTTTTCCGATTTTAACATATTTTTCCGATCGCCTTCAGATTTCCTAATTTTCCTCCGGTTTTCGAAGTCTTATTTCGGAATTCAAGTTCTTAGGACATTCTAGAATAGTTTAACCATGACACGACACCACACATATATAGCGATCTATTTCACCATAGTTATCGGGTAGTGAAGCGTCATGAACTCAACAAACCACACTGCAGTGATTTGAAAGCATATCCTCCAATAAAACTATGATGTTTTACAGACAATTAAGATCCAGCTTTCTATCACGATGAACTAACTTTCTCTGTTCGTTTACTATAGTGTTAATTAAGAATATTTTCGTTTCTGAGCTTTTTTTGTTTCATCACAGATATCATAAAACTAATCATAATCGTATGGGTACTAATTTAGCTGTTGCAGAATTGAAAATCGGAATGAGTTCTGTTTATACTTGTGGACATTTTTATGAATATCTGTTACCTCAACCTGATATTTTGAAGAGTATTCGAGCTAATAAAAAAGTATGAACAAAAACGAACATTATACAGAATAAGTCTTAGTTTTGTTTTGCATAAGTTTTGTGAAATGCATGTGTGTGTATGAATTTACAATACTGATTCTATTGTTTCGTCAAGTTGGTTATAGCATTTTTGATAAAAATAATGTGATCCTGTTCAAATTACTTATTTAGATTTCTCAATCATGAGTAAATTGTGTAATCGATATTTTCTTTAATTCTTTATGAAATATCATTTCTGATATTGCTTCGAAAAGATGAACAGAAGCAAGATAAAGGATATTGAAGCTATCGAAAATATATAGACTAGTTATTTAAGCATGGAAAAATACTTTCTGATTTTCTTCCGATTTCGAGAACAAAAATTCCGACTTTCCCAATTTTTAGAAAAACTTTTCTGATTTTTTAATTTTCGATCTGGTAACCGTGACCACCACCATCACAAACCTCAGCAGTGCATTAAAGGCTCTAGTTTTTTGTATAATATATCAATGATTTCATACGTATTCGGAAAAAAGGTATTTTACAATTTAAAAATAAGGCATCAGGACAAAAAATTAAAAAAATATATGTGAGTTCCACATTTTAGCTCCTCTGGAGCTGCGCTAACAAGTTTTTTTTTACTGATTAGTTTTGTGAAAAAATTTTTAAATTTTTAAAAGATGTCTCTAAAGGTCTGAGTATATTTAAAAAATCAAGGTTATACAAAGGCGGGGAAACCGCGAAATTTCGTCATGCACCGTCATCGCCCCGCCCCGTCAAGTTTTAGCACCGCCCCGCGGCGGGGCGGGGCGGTTTTACACCGCGGCTCGTCCATCTCTGATTTAAACCCAATTTAAGTGCACTCACAAAATAGCCTTTCTATCACATGAAATAAACAAGACAATAATAACAACATAAGCACAAATATACAATATTATTCACACATAGATATTTTCTATAAAGTCTTTTTCTACACAGCTCCATACGAAGAGCTTTCTCATTCGTCATGAGCCTGAAGTACATCTTTTTATTGTTGTATAAATAAGACACAAGGCATTGATAAGACGAGGAACAATCAGCTTCAATGCT